CCCGGGAGGCCTGGTTCTCCCAAGACCCAGCCTCGGTCCCTGCCGATCACCCCACAGCAAGACGTGCATGCACTCCGGGGCCTGGCCACGGCAGGACAGGGCGGCAGGGGGCAGGCCGCCCCGGCCGACCAGCGCCGGGCCTCCTCCCCCCGCCCTCGCGTCTCCCCTGCTTGTCCTCAGGCTGGGACGGGCCTGGGCTGTCCTGGAGGACACCACCCCGGGTGTGTGTTTCACTCGTCCTTGGCATGGGGACTCTCGTTTCCACACTGGTGTCTGACTGTTGGGGCCGCCCGTGGGGCCCGTGTTCTGCATGGGGCTGGGCGCAGGGCCGCGGGCAGATGGTTTGGGTACTTACTTTTCTTTTTGTCTCACAACAGGGGGGCTAAAGGTCTCAGGGGCTGGAGGAGCCGCTCTGGGCTGGCAGGCCTGGCTTTATAGCAGCCGCCCGCCTGAGCCCGGGCAGCCGTGCCCGGGCAGCCGAGCCCGGGTTATTAATAGCAGCTGCACCTTGCCCTTTATGGGCAAGAGCAAGGCCTGCGAACTTGGCCTCCCAGACCTCCCCGCACCTGTTCCTGGCCGTGGCTGTGCCGGCCTGGGTTGGTGCTGCCCCCTGACTGCCCAGCCCCCACGCTCGACAAGGCAGAGAGGGGCACCTGCGTGAGCTGAGCCACCCAGACAGAATTGCTGTCCCTGTGTGAGGGGTGGCGTGCAAAGTGGCACCGAGAGGCAGCTGGTGGCCAAGGCCAGCTTTTGTGAACCCCCTTGGTCCCATTTAGAAGGGGCACAGCCAGACCCAAGCCCCGGCCCGAAGCCTCCGACTCTGCTCCACAACCTGTGCTGCTCTGAGGTCTGGGGACACCCAGAGCGTCCCGTCGGCGCTACTCTCCCAGGGACGAGACCCTCCTGAACAGCCCTGCACGAGGGGCTGGTGGGAACCTGCCCATTCCCGAGTAGAGGTTGCTGCTCTGCGAACCCCAGAACCAGTCAGCCAAGTCCCCACCCTTCCCGCGGGATCAGGGGCCCCTCCCCTGTCCGGTCACTACAAAGCGGCATCTGCAGCCCTGGTGGCCCTCGACTGGCAGGGTGCCCGGTGTGTAGGGCACCTCCCCTGGACTGTGACTAGCAAGTCCTCATTGCTCTCATCCATCTGGTCCCAGGCGGCATGGGCTGGCCATCCCCTGGCCCCACAGTGGTCCCCTTCACTCGCAGGCAAAGTGCGGGCAACTAAGACACAAGCCCCCCCCCCAGGCTGGCGCCCTCCCCAGGACCACAACACACACACTGACCCAAAGGCCCACAAGCCAAAGCCCGGGCTTGGCCAGCATTTCTGACTCAACCCAGGCTGGAGCTCTCAGTTCTAGAATATTCCATGCCTGCCAGGAGCTCAACCCAGGTGCCACGCACAGCCTGCAGTTTCCTGCTCAGCCAGCAAGTGCATTGCCCTGTTCAGCATTCCGTGCTGTGTACTGAGGGGGCACTGGGCTGGGGACACAGAGGGACTTCCTGGGTGCCCCAGGGTTGACAGGGTGTCGGCCTCGCTCCCTAGGGCGTCGCTGCCTCTGCCCATCAAACTGCACCAACACCCACAAAGCAGGGCCCTGTGTGGACGTCCTTGACCCCATGGCCCCGGCAGACGGCTGGCTGTGGCTTGGGCGCTTTGTCGCCGGGGTGCACGTGTAAAAGTCTAACTCCCTTCAAGGGGAGTTAATCCGACCGTGGTGCTTAGAGGGGGCCTCCGCGAGGTGATCAGGATTAGGAGGGTCACAGAGTGGGGACCCGGGATTGGACCCCGGTGGCTTTATAAGGACAGAAAGCAGGGCACGGTGGTGCACCTGTGATCCAGTTGTTCAGGCGGCAAAGCCAGCTGGGCAGCTAGTGACACCCCATCTCCAAAGACAGACTGTAAAAAGGGGGGGATAGCACAGAGATGGCGCAGTTGCCTGGCGTCCGGTTCAAATTCCAGCACCCCAAAAAGAAAGAAAGAGCGGGTAAGAGGGAGGGAGGGAGACCAGGAGGGACGCCACCCTCCTCTCTGGCCACATGACAAGGGCCTGAACTGCCCCCAGACTCTGCCAGCAAGGCGGCCACCCCCAGCTGGGGCACCGGCCTTGGACCACCACTGTGCACCAGAATAGACCTCTTTTCTTCTTAAAGATTTTTTCTTTTCAGTTGTAGTTGGACACAACACCTTTATTTTATTTATTTATTTTCATGTGATGCTGAGGATGGAACCTAGGGCCCCGCAGGTGCTGGGTGTGCGCTCTCCCGCTGAGCCCCAGCCCCACCCCTGGACCTCTTTTCCTTATCAAGTTTCCAGCCTCAGGCATTTCATTACAGGAACGCAAAAAACAGCTGACCTAGCCCGCCTCCCACTCCCCCCTGCTTCCTCCCAGCCCCAGCCCTTGGCTCTGCTCGCTGGCCCCTGCTGACCAAGAGGCTTCTGCTTATATGCAGAACTTCTCAGCAGGCAGCTGCCGCGACTCACCCTGCCACTGGAACACCACTGGCGAGACTCTGCTTAGCTGCTCAGACGGACGGACCAGCCTCGCGCATTTTCCTGACCTCGGAATCAAACCAGTGGCCATCCCAGCCTGTGGGGGCTGATCACTGGAACCACCAGGTGCAGAGCAGCGTTTGTCACAGTCACGGGGCTCATCAGAGGTGCCGGCTCCATGCCCAGCCATGGACACCCTGAGTCTCAGCCCCAGAGCAGCCATGACAAAGGACAGTAGGTGCTCTGGGGGAATGGGGCACTCGCCCTCACAGTCCTGGAGGCCAGAAGTTGAAAACTAAGAGGTGAGCAGCTCCCTCTGGGGACTGCAGGGAGGGCCCTCAGCCTGTCCTCACTCCAGTCTCTGCCGCTGTGGTCCCACAGGGTTCTTACAGGGACACCTGTCATTTTAGTAAGGCCCTGCCTAATGCACTATGACCTCATCTTAATGAATGACATCTACAGGGACGCTATTCCCACATCAGGTCCCACTCACTGGCCCTGGGGACATAACTGCCACATTGACTTTTGGAGGGAACACAGTTTGGCCCTCAACAGCCATCCTGCCCTAAATGCCCCGAGTCAGCTCACGCAGCCACTGGGGAGGAGTCACATGGCCCCTGCTTAGCGTGTCCTTAACAAGAATGGGCACCCAGGAGCCTCAGCCCCGTGTCAGAGACGCCAAGAGGAAGGTCAGAGAGGGCATGACCTTTATCATGCATGTCATTTATCCCCCACCGACACAAGGCCACACAGCCACGGAAGCAAGGCCCGAATCTGGGCATGTGTCCTTCTGAATGCCCCCCCCCCGTCCACCCCCCCTGACCTCTGATGGAGTTGCTTGGCCCCAAGGTTTACCTCCTGCTGGGAGGACAGTGTGCCTGGCCTGTCCTGCCCTCCCATGAGCCTCTGAGTGCCACATCTCCCAAGACAGTGACCCAAGGGCCTCCCCACTCTCCCCAGGGATGGAGTGATGGTCCTTGTCCCCAAAGAACCCCAGAGGCCTCTGAGAGGCCAGGTTTGACCCTCAGGGTCCTGGGCAGCGTGGAGGGCGGTGGTTTGCTCACAACGGGAGGTTGTTTTCCGAGGGTTGCGTTTCCCTTGTGCTGGACGCGGAGCCCGGGGACTGGCGTGTGGCAGGAGCATCGCCCTGCCCGCACCCCAGCCCTCTTCATTTGGAGTCAGGGTCTGGCTAAGCTGCCCAGGCCGGCCTGGGACTTGCCATCCTCCTGCTGTGGCTTCAGCGTAGCTGGAGTGACAGATGTGTCCCCATGTCCAGCTCCCTCTTCTAAGGCACTGCTTCTGCATCTAGTGACCTTCAAAGGCCAACTCGGGGCGAGGGCTCTGGCTGAGTACTGGGCCAGGACACAGGAGTCAGTCCAAGGCAGGGCCCGGGCAGGACCCCAGGGCTTCCCATCCCCCCAGGGGAGGCGTCGGCCTGTGGAACACCAACTTCCAGCCCTGCACCATCGCCCGCACCTGGCTCTGGGCCTGAGGACTCCAGGGACCCTCCTGTGAGGGGACCCTTTTGATTCTGGCTCGTGCCACTGAGCACTTCTCTCAGGTCACCCACGTTGCAGCAGGTGGCTGAATCAAATCCTGCATGTCATTTATCCCCCACCGACACATGGATGTGAGCGCCGTGGTGGTCATGCTGCCGGGGACACAGGTACAGGTACATCCCAGGCACAAGTAGTCACTCAGGCCACGGGCTGTTGCCAGGGACAGGTCAGGCCCCTTGCTGTCCCCTGGCGGGTTGTGCGCTCACCTGGATCCTGAGCACTCAGCCAGGAACGTGCGTTTACACGCTCCCTAGGCAGCTGTGGCACTAAGGTGACATAGCCCCAGCAGAACCTGCCTGGCCCCAGCCGTCAGTGACTGCCGCTCCTGACCACTCCATGGCCCACTTCGTGGCCACCAGAGCAGCTGAGGCGGTCGAGGCCTCAGGGTGGAGTCGGGCCTCTCGATTTCACTCCTTTGTAACTTGAAAATGGATCACAAAAACCTGGCAGTGGCCACCAGTTCCTTCCCATGCCATCGGGAAACCTCAAGGACTTTCAACAGGGCCTCAGGTGGCCTTGGCTGTGAAGGCAGGTGGCAGCAGCCATCACACAGCACCCTCCTCAACCTGCTGGGGGACACAACGGGGAGAGGGGCAGCAGAGGCGGTGCAGGCTGCCGGCTCAGGAACTCGGGCCACTCCACCACTGAGCCACTCCCCAGCCCTACTCCGTATTTTACTGAGTCACGGCCTCACTGAGTTACTCAGCCCCTCGCTGTTGCGGAGGCTGGCTTTGAACTTACAATCCTCCTGCTTCAGCCTCCCTGGCCACTGGGACTAGACATGCACCACTGCACCTGGTGCTTTGTGGTTTTTGATGGGGTCTCGTATGCTGCCCAGGCTGGCCTCAAACTCCTGGGTTCATGATCCTCCTACCTCAGCCTCCCAAATAGTTGGGACAACAAACTGGCCTGATGTGGTTGTTTTTAAATTTTTCTTTTCATACTTGTAGACGGACAGCAGGCCTTTATTGTTATGTGGTGCTGAGAATCGAACCCAGTGCCTCACACGCGCCAGCAAGCACTCTGCCCCTGAGCCCCACTTCCATGTATTTTGTGTGCGAAAACACACATAACAAATTCCACCATTGGTGACAATCGAGCACATTCACACTGTCACTGTCATCCCAAGGCAAGCCTCAGCCCAGCACCCACCAATCCATGTCCCATCTCTGACTCCTGTCTTGGATGTCTCCTGACACTGGGGCACACACACGCCCCAGGAGGGGGAGCGCACTGTGTCTGTCAGCGGGAGTGTTTCCTTCAAGGCACTGCCACTGTGCCTCCGTGAACATCCCTGCGCAAGTCTGCGGGCAGTGTCCTCCCACCTGTGATGTGCCCCGCTGGACAGCACTGCAGACTGACCTCCATCTCCCAAGCACAAAGCATTGTTAAAGAACTCACGGGGCTTAGTGGAGGGTGGTGCTGGGGGCCCTCCCTGAGGCCCCCAGCTGAGCTGTGCCCCACAGCGCCTCTACGGGCAGGGTCCGGACAGGGCAGAGCACGGGCCAGTCACAGCCACTGCACCCGATCTTCCCCGACGGGAGACCTGTCTCCTGCACCTGGTGCTGAGCTGCAGGGCCGGCACCGGCAGGCCAGGACTGCGGTGGGGCTGCTGCTCCCGGGGCCCCGGCTCCTCTGCACGGGCTCCTGTCCAGCCAGCCCTTTGCAAAGGCATCAGCACTCAAAGGAGCCACACACCCACCGCGGGGGGCTCTTGACCATGGAGGACCAGGGAATGGCCTCAACCTGCACACTGCCCCCCCATCCAAGGCTTCCCGGTAGGCTGAGGCGACACCTAGTGGCACCCTATGGCACTGGCCACCCAGTGCCTTAGTCCAAACTGCCACCTAGCGGCTCGGGGCAGGCGGTCCAGGGAAACCAGCAGGGCGAGGCAGAGCCACACTTTCCCAGCCTGTTGCAGGCAGTCCTGGGGGACCTCATCCACACAGCCAACAGAGACAGGAGCGAGAATACCCTGAGGGCCACTGGGCACTGCAGCCAAGGGACAGGCTGGGGCTGTGCTGTTCAGGGCAGGTGCATCCTGGCACCACTAGGAACAGGAGGACGGCACACAGCACAGGGCCCCTCAGATGCTTCTGGGGGACCAAGAAGGTGGTGGCTGCTTTACAGCCCCTGCTCAGACCCCAGTGCCCCTTCACCCAGCACTGAGACTCTCCCTGGGCCCCAAGACCAGCATCAACCAACGCTCCATTTACTGCCAAGCTCCCCAGAACACCAGCTTTTTTTTTTTTTTTTCCTGGTACTGGGGGTTGAACCCAGGGGCACTTGACCACTGAGCCACATCCCCAGCCCTTTTTATTTAAGAGACAGGGTCTCACTAAGCTGATGAGGCTGGCTTTGAACTTGCATCCTCCTGCCTCAGCCTCCAAAGCCACTGGGGTTATAGAACTGTGCGGCTACGCCAGGCCAGAGCAGCGGGAAGGGCATCAGTCACCAGCAGAGCTTGATCATCAGGACACAGCACAAGGCCAGGCCCGTCACACAGTGGGGCAAGCATTTGTGGACTGGGCTGATTGGGGCTCAAGAGCCACCTGCTGGGCAGGATGGGGCCCGCTGCCCAGCATGAACCCACGGACAAACACCACTCCAGGCTGTCAGCTTCTGCCTGCCCGCTCAGGGGCCCACGGTGATCCTGGGACCTGGCCGCCACCCCCACCACCAGGCAGTGCTCGAGGCCATGACACCCACTGTGGCCAGTGCCATCTAGGCGGTGGCCCCTTTCCAAGCCTGCTGCAGAAGCTAAGGCCCTGGCCACAGGGGAGGTGGTTCCGCTGAGGAGAGGGCTGCCGGCGTGACCCTGGGCTGCAGAGGGGTGACCAGGCCACTAGCGCAGGCTGCACTCCCCGCCCTGCAGCTTCTCCTGCTCCAGGGCGCGCACCAGGTCCTGCACAAAGCGCATCTCGGAGGCCACCTGCTTGGCCAGCGCCTCGTAGCGGTTCTCGAGGCGGCTGAAGCGGCGCTTGAGCCCACTGGCCCCCAGCAGGGCACCCCTGGCCTCCTCCTGCGCCTGCCGCTGCAGCGCCTCCGTCCTGTGCAGCTCCTGCCGCAGCCGCCTCAGGTCCTGGCCCAGGCTGTCGCTCTCCTCCTTGTACCAGGCCTCCTTCTCCTCGTAGATGGCCGTCAGCGCCTCCACGTCCTCGCGACACAGCCGGCGGCCACGCTCCAGCTCGCGCAGCCCCTCCTCGGCAGCCGCCACCTCCTCCAGCACCTTGGAGAAGCGCTCGAAGTTGGCGTAGGTGTTGTTGGGCGGCATACTCGAGTGCGACTTGATGGTGTACTCCTTGAGCCGTGTGGTCTTCAGGCGCCGCCGCTCAGGCTTCTTGCTGCTGTCCTCACTGCGGACATTGCGCCTCCGGATGGCCTGCAGGGGACAGGGAAGAAGGTGCCTGGAGCCGAGGGCAAGCCATGGCCTTTGGGACTGGAGTACACCAACTCCCGTGTCCACCCGTGGAGCAGGCGTGCAGACAGCCTTCCCACTGCCACAGCAGGGACAGGCTCTGCCGGGGCTTTGCTGACCTGCGCTCCACGCCCCCTTGCAGCACAAGGACCTCCCCAGACGCAGAGGGCTTGCCCTGCCGAGGGCTTGTCCTCCAGTGGGAGAGACACCTCAGTCCTCACCTTGATCCAGGAATGCTCCAGGCTCTGGGCGATGGTCATTCTCCTCCTGGAAGACCACCCCAAGTCACACCTGTGTCCTCCACACCATCTACCCACAGCAGAGGGGCCAGGCTGTCCCCCCACAGCACTGGCCCTTAGCTTCCAGCAGCTCCCTGTATGTACCCCCCTGCCCCCTGGAGTCCTTCCCAGCCTCTGCTTGGCCAACCGGGAGGCCAGGGGCAGGGACCTGGGACAGGAAGCCTGGGGTATGTTTTCAATGGAACCACAACCTCCCACTGCAGTCATAAACTCAGGTACCCACAGGAGGGCCAGGTCACAGGAGAGCACCATGGCAGACTGGGTGCCAGGGTTCTACATTTTGCTGGATCTGGAATTTTACACAAACCTATCTCCAAAGCTAGTAAGGAATTTAAGGTTTTCAAAAACATGGCATGGCCAGGTGTGATGGTGCACATCTGTAATCTCAGCAGCTCAGGAGGCTGAGGTAGGAGAATCGAAAGTTCAGGGCCAGCCTCAGCAACCTAGCAAGGCCCTAAGTAACTTAGCGAGACTCTGTGCAGAATCCCAGCTGTTCACAGAGCACATAAACTCAAAATTAAAAAATTAAAAAAGAGCTTAGGATGTGGCTCAAGGGTCAAGCACCCCAGGTTCAGTCCCCAATACCAAAAACAAAAAATAAAAACCAGAACAAAACAAATATGGCGTGGCCAGACCAGTCCTCAATCCCCTCTGCTGGCTGAGGAGCCAGGCAGCCCTCAAGGCCGTGGGAGCCCTGAGTGGACTGCACTGGAGTGCGAGGTGCGGTGGGCAGGGGTGGGTGGCTGGAGGCTGGGGCATGGGCAGAGCGGGTGAGGCTTTCCGCCAGGGGCCCAGTGCGTGCTCCTACTTGGGATCTTTGACCAGCAGCCGGCGGATGAAGTCCTTGGCCAGCTCGCTGGTGCTGCTGAAGTACTCCTCGTCGAAGTCGTAGTTCACGGCCGAGATGTTGGTCAAGGTCTCCTGCTTGGTTTCACCCAGGAATGGGGACGCGCCACTAAGGCTGGAAGACCAAGGCAGGCACAGGCTCGATGGGGTGCCCCAGCCCCCGCACACCCACTGTGACCTTGCCACCTACTGGTTCACTACCTGACTCCAGTGGGCCCACAGGGGGCCAAACAGGATGGGCCGATGGGGACACCTGACCACTGGGGACACAGTCACCTGGTCACCCACCAAGCTGCGTCAAAGACCACCTCCCAGTCACGGAGGGGACATGTCTCTGGAAACTTGGTGTCTGGGTGGACACAGCTCAGAGCTTCTCCTAAAGCATTCGACAACTAAAGGGCGCAGTGGCCTCAGGGGAGTCTCTAGAGGCCTGTGTCCTGGTCCAACAGGACAGGTCCTGGTCTGAGGCTCTGGGCAGGGGTGCGGAACCCCAGCTGTTCACAGAGCACACAAAGCCCCAAGTGGGCGCCCTCTATAAAGTACCCGACGGTGCCCAGGCGAGACACCAACGGTCTGACTGGGGGAGGCGAGGAGATGTCCCCAGTGTCAGGGTTCCTGGGTTACAGCCAGAAAGTGATGCTAGTGGGGAATCGGAGCTCCTGGCCAGGGCCACCACTGACCTCGGGCACCAAGGTCAACAGCAGTGTCCTCACGTCTGCAGAAGGAAATCTGCTATTTATGCCAGTCTTCCATAACCCCCAGGTCACCTGGACACGAGGGACACAGGGCAACTACCTCCCTCCAAGGAGCCATGGCCAAGTCTGCCTGGTGTGCCCACCCTCCAGGCCAGGGGCCAACGCGTCACAGGCCTGGCCTGGCCTGGCCTGGCTGAGCTGTCCCAGGCAGCAACAGGGAAAGGCCAGGACTCAACCCTTCTGTCTCTGGCTGCCAGTGGACTGTCCACAGTGGAGGGGAGACATACCCCCTCCTGGCACGGCCACTCAGAAAACAGGGCCTGGCCTCAGAACTTTCCAGAAGCCCATAACAGCACCCACAGAGGACCCTGCACTGCTCCACCCACTCCGTCCCTCAGCAGGGTCACTGAGCACCACTGTGCAGAGCTGGCGGGACCCCCACGTCCCCAGGAACAGCCCTGACTCCAGCACCAGCCGAAAGGCGACTGCTGTGCGGCACGACCAGGCAGCCAAAGGTCAGCACCCCGGCCAGTACTCACAGGATGTAGGTGATGACGCCAATGCTCCTGAAAGACAGAAAGGAGGGACATGGGTCAGCGGGGTCCCCAGGGCAGAGGTCCACAGCCAGGTCAAATGAACCACTAAGGAAGGTAGAAGCCCTGAGCCAGGGGCAACAGCCCCCCAGCCCTGGCCCCAAACTTCAGGGGCTGACACTGTCCTCTGCTCTGGGCTCCACATAGCCTCCAGCCAGTCCCTGGTCCCTGTCTCTATCACCTGGAGGTTCCCACCTGGGCACCTCTGGCCATCCTTGCCTACTAATGTCAAAGCTCAAACTGGCCAGGGTGGGGACGGGTCAGAGCACAGTGGCCCCACACCAACCCCCACATTGACGGTGGGACCCTCATGGAGCCTGGTGGGAAACTTTTTACACAGGGTCAGACACTGAACCTCAGACTGTGTCCGTCCAACACTTCAATGTCCATCAGCTTTGTTTCTTTCTCTTTTTTTTTGGCGGGGGCGGGGGAAGGTACCAAGGATTGAGCTCAGGGGCTCTCAACCACTGAGCCCCGTCCCCTGCCCTATTTTGTATTTTATTTAGAAAGAGGGTCTCACTGAGCTGCTCAGGGCCTCACTTTTGCTGAGGCTGGCTTGGAACTGGCGATCTGCCTCAGCCTCCCAAGCCTCTGGGATGACAGGCGTGTGGCACTGCGCCCGGCTGTCAGCTTTGTTTCTAACACCCTAGGAAACAACGTGCAGACCCCTGAGCAGAGGGGCCTGGCCTGGCCCTTGGGCGGCCATCTGCCAACCTCTATCCTAAGACAGCAGTCTGTCCATCCCCCCGTGGCACCCAGATACCACCAGGAGGAAGCACACAGGAAAGGCCCCAGCCTGGCCAGCTCCCGGGACACTCACCACATGTCTGCCTCCAGGCCCAGGGGCTCATAGTTGACAATCTCAGGAGCTGCACGAACAGAAAAGAGAGCAAAGGGCCAGGCGCTGGGGACACAAGAGCCAACAGGGACAGCACCCTGCCGCCCCCCGCAGTTGGGAACGTGCACACACACACATGTGCACACACACACACATATACACACACACACACACACACACACACACACACACACTCCATCCCCCCATACATGTATTTTTCTTTTTCTTCTTCTTTTTTTTGACTACACCCTGGAGCTCTACCAGAGACGGATTCACATCCAGCGCTTATTTATTTTAAGACAGGGTCTCGCTAAGTCTGTGCCTCAGGCACCCCGAGTAGCCAGGACACAGACCTTGGTGGAGGTGCTCGCAAGCCCCCCTGTACTTGTCAGTGAATGGACACAGGCAGGGCTGACTCAGCCCAGGCCCTGGGAAGAGGAGCTGGACAGTGACAGCCCCAAACGAACCCGAGTCCCCATGACGCTGGGCACGGGAGGGGTGGCCGGAGACCTGTGCCAGTTAACACCACACACAGTGGGAATCCGCAAATGCCCGCCCTGCCAAGCCCTGGGCAGACACCACATGGACTCACCCACAAACTCCGGGGTGCCGAAGATGTTCTTGAACTCATTCCCTGCTTCAATCTTGTGGGCAATGCCGAAGTCGATGAGCTTGATCCGGGGGTCGGGCACATTCTTGTCCAGAAGCATGATATTTTCTGGCTGGAGTGGAAGACCTCGGCTACTCCTATGTCCCACCCACATGTCTGGACAGAGCACCCTCATTCTGTGGCATGGCCAGACTGACACACCCTCAGGTCCCTGCCCAGGCTGTCCTGTCCCCTCAACCCTTGGATAGCAATGGGCTGGAGGACTTGCGCTCTGCTGCAGGATCGGGGCCTCCCCCAGCTCCCATCCTGGACGCATGGCTGGCTCATCCCCGGGCCCGCAGGGCTCACCTTAAGGTCGAAATGAGCGATGCGCTTGGAGTGAAGGTAGTGAACGCCATCCAGGATCTGCTTGAGGAACTGGGTGGCCTCGTCCTCGGTCAGCGACTCCTTCTCTGCCAGGAAGTCGAAGAGCTCCCCACCAGAGACCAGCTCCAGGATGAGCACCACGTCCGTCTTGTTCTCAAAGACGTCATGCAGAGTGATGATGTTGGGGTGCCGGATCTCCCGCAGGATGCTCACCTCCCGCTCGATCTCCTCCCGGCTGACACCACGCCGGCTGGACGCCAGGCGGCGCTTCTTGATGAACTTAGCCGCATACTCCTTTCCAGTGCCCTTCTGCCGGCACTTCCGCACGATGGCGAACTGGCCACTGAGGGAGCGTGGGGAGGGGAGGGGAGCTGGGCGGCTGCACAGTAGCCCCTCTTGCGCCCCAGGGTGCAGCCCTGCGCCTGGGACCTCAAGGTATATGGGGACTTGGGACAAGAGCCCAATGCAAGGATAGGCAGCAACCCCATAGCCCTCCCAATACAAGGAGCCAACCCTCCAGGACAGTACACGGGGCCTGGGCACATGGGTGCAGAACGCTTGAGCCAGTGCTGCCAGGCGCTTCTGCAACAGCAAGAGGAGAGAGGAGGCTGAGTGTGCACGGGAGGCACCAGGACAGGCCATGGGGGCGACCCTCGAGAGGACCTGCCACAGGCCAGGAGCGAGCTGCAGAGAGCACTCCACTGTCTGAGTGTCCCCAAAGGCCCATGTGTGGAAGGCTGCTGCCAAGTGGTGATACTGGTGGGCAAGGGGAACTTTAGCAGGTGGGCCTGGCAGGAGTCTGCCCTGGAGCCAAGCCCTCCAAGAGCCTGGGAACCCCAGTCTCAGGGTCCCCTGCCTCCTAGCTGCAGATGCAAGCAGTCCTTCCAACATGTGTGTGCTGCCCCAGCCTTGACAGAGGCCCAAAGCCATGGGCTACATGATCTTGTGAACTTGAACCTACAAAACTTAGCTAAATAACCTTTTTCTCTAATAATTACCTCAGGTATTTCATGGTAGGATCGTAAAACTAACACACATATAACTAATACACAAAAATTCTTTTTGTTTAAAACTGGTCTATGCTGCAGCCCTTTGTACATGGGTTTCCATGTGTACACAGAAGGACTCAGACGCAAGGCATGGCAGGAGAGTGGGCGAGAGGGCGAAGACTCACTTTCCCCTTGATGCAACGCTACTCTCATTGAGCTTTTCAAGGCATATTATGCTACCATTTTTTTTTTAATACAGGAAAAAAGTAAAAGCCACTAACTTCAAAGGGGGCTGGGGATACAGCTCAGCTGGTAGAGTGCTTGCCTCGCATGCACAAGACCCTGGTTCAATTTCCAGCACCACAAAAAAAAAAAAGTGCTCCTAGGGTTGGGACTGTGGCTCAGTGGCAGAGCGCTTGCCTAGCACGTGTGAGGTACTGGGCTCAATCCCTAGCATCACATAAAAATAAACAAACAAAGGCATGCTGTCCATTTACAACTAAAAAAAAAAAAAAAACTTTTTTAAGTTCTCCTATTCAGCTAGGCTGGGTGGCACACCACTGTCACCCCAGTAACTCAGGAAGCTGAGGCAAGAGGATCTCAAGTTCAAGGTCAGCCTCAGCAACTTAAGAGAACTTGTCTCAAAAATGAAAAGGAAGCCAGGCGCAGTGGCACATGCCTGCCTATAATCCCAGCAGCTTGGGAGGCTCAAACAGGAGGATCGCAAGTTCAAAGCCAGCCTCAGCAACTGCAAGGCACTAAGCAACTCAGTGAGACTTGTCTCTAAATAAAACACAAAACAGGGCTGGGGTCGAGTGCCCCTGAGTTCAACCTTGGTACCTAAAAAAAAAAAAGAAAGAAAGAAAAGGTAGGGGCTGGGGCTGAGATGTGTCTAACTACAACTTAAAAATAAATATAAAAAAAAAAAGAAAAGGGGTGCCAGATTACATGCCTGTAATCTCAGCAACTTGGGGATAAGCTGCCCTAGGTTCAAACCCCAGTACCAAAAAAAAAAAAAAAAGAAGAAGAAAAAACCTTCAATCTAACAAGTACCACTGACTTCAAAGCCTGAGACTCAGTCCAGAATGGATGCCTGCTCAGCACTGCTCACCACCTCCGGCTCATGGACCCACTTGTCCTTCAATGGCTGTATCTTTCTTGTTCCCTCTCAGCCCCTAGACTGTGGCCAAATGCCAAACCTGCCCCAGGAAAAGGGTGGCAGAGGGCTGGGGATGTGGCTCGCCTGGCATGCGTGCGGCCGGGGTTCAATCCTCAGCACCACATACAAAAAAAAAAAAAAAAAAGATGTTGTGTCCGCCGAAAACTAAAAAATAAATATTAAAACTCTCTCTCTTTAAAAAGAAAACGAAAAGGGTGGCAGAGGACACAACCATGACCTAGACAGGCAAAAAATCAAAACTTGTAGCCCAAAGCAGCCAATCAGTCCAGCCCTCACTAGCTCTGGACTCCTGCTGTGAGAGCATGTCCATCTCTCTCTGCAGAACTTAGGTTTGGGATGATGGGTAGAGACCACCAGGTGCAAGCCAAAATCTGAGGGGACGCTGGGCAGGAGCTACTGAGCCCAAACCCTTCCACCCAGCACCGTGCTTCCTCCAGCTCCCCTGAGCCAGCCTACACCCTGGGACACAGGGCCCCCAGGAGCACCCTGGCCATCTGTGGACTCCTATTACCATAAACCAGTCCCGACCTCCCTTATGCCCATGGGATTTCGGTTTGTCACTGAAGAGTCCTGACGCCGACATCCTTCGACCCACTGAACCTCCAACCTGTGAGTCGCCGAATCCAGGTCCACCTCCCCTCTCAAGGTTGAAAGGTCATGTGATCTCCCCACATCTGAGTGCCCGTGGAAGAGACCCTCCTTGAGAGCCCGGCCCACATGCTCCTCTTCCCTGTGACTCCCACAGGAGGCCGAGGTCAGGGCTTCAGGCCTCCATCCAGCTACGAAAGGACCCGACACAAACCAGAGGAAGGCTCAGATCTGAAACACGCGGCCACTGGGGAAACGAGTGCTCCTCCGTGCACCAGGACAGAGCCAACGTGGAGAGTCACAGTGAAGGGGCAGGTGAGGTGAGTCCCTGCCAGGGAACCACCCGGCCAGCATGTTCTCCAACCACACGCATGAAAAGCACCAGATGAAGGAGGGTGTCCGCAGAGGGGTCTCCCCGACAAGACGGGGCGGCATGAGGCCGCTAGGACTCGGGGGTCCCCTGCCCTGCCTGGGGTGAGTCTGGGCTGGATCTACAAAGGTAGCTGGAGCTGATCCGCAGAGAGGCTGAGGCAAAGTGAGGCTACAGGAGTGGAGAGCCAGAGTGTCCCAGCAAGGGGACTTCCGGAGTTATGGGCCGGGCATGCTTTGCTTTCTTTCTTTCTTTCTTTTTTTTTTTAAATATTTATTCTTTTTATTTGTAGTTGGAACAATATCTTTGTTTTTATTTATTTTATGTGGTGCTGAGGCTCGAACCCAGGGCCTCCCATGTGCTAGGTGAGCGCTCTACCGCTGAGCCACCACCTCAGCCCCAGAGGCCCGCTTTCTTTCAGTCTCCACATAGAGCCACCATGTAACTTGGTGGCACAAAAGCCACAAAAACATCACAGGAGCATGGCTGTGACCACAGCCTCTTCTTCATTCACTCCATTTATTTACTGCAGCAGTGCTGGGGAGGGAAGCCAGGGCCTGATACATGCTAGGCCAGCCTCCCACCAAGTGTTATTGTGAACACCGAAAGGAGAATTTCCTGTCATTGTTACAGGTCATGAAATCCAACTTTTTTCCCCTCAACTATTTAAAACTGTACACAATGGGGGCTGGGGCTTAGCTCAGTGGCAGAGCACTTGCCTAGCATGAGTGAGGCACTGGGTTCAATCCTTAGCATAAAAATAACCAAATAAAGGCATTCTATCCATCTATAACTACAGAAAGTTTTTAAAAAATACATACAGCATTCTGAGTTTGTAGTCTGCACAAAGATAACTGACAGGAAGAAGAAAAAAAGCATATAACTGTACTGTATTTGGCCCACTGGCAGTAGATAGTAAGACCATAGTCAACAGACTCATAGAGTTAAAAAAAATCAAACATAAACAAGATAATGTGGGACTGGGGCTCAGTGGCAGAGCACTTGCCTCCCATGTGTGAGGCCCTGGGTCAATCCTCAGCACCACATAAGAATAAATAAATAAAAATAAAGATATTGGGTCCATCTACAACAACAAAAAAAATATTTTTAAAAAAAATAACGATGGGCTGGGATTGTGGCTCAGCGGTAGAGCGTTTGCCTAGCACAGGTGGGACCCAGGTTCGATTCTCAGCACCAAGTAAAAATAAAGGCATTGTGTTGCGTCCATCTACCAAAAGAGATTTTCTCTCTGGGGCTGGGGATGTGGCTCAGTGGTAGTGCGCTCGCCTGGCATGCGTGCAGCCCGGGTTCGATCCTCAGCACCACATACAAACAACGATGTTGTGTCAGCTGAGAACTAAAAAATAAATATTAAAAATTCTCTCTCTCTCTCCCTCCTCTCTCACTCTCTCTTAAAAAAAAAAGAAAAAAAAAGATTCTCTCTCTCCCTCCCTTTCTCCTCTTAAAAAAAAAAAGAAAGATAATGTATATGGAAGGACATGCACAGGTGACACACAAGTATGATATCATTTTACATTAAACATCCAGGGATTCTCAGGAGTCTGGAACCCATCCCCATCCCCATCAACATGGAAGGGCCAAATATGAATTAAATTTCACTGACTTTTGCCAAATTCAATCTGAAGTGCTAGTTAGTGCATTTCCTACAGTAAAGTAGGAAATTTCTCAGAGGGAAGGGCTGCATTGTCCACCGTAGTTACGGAGGAAATTCCTGAAGGAAGGATTTCAGGATCCCAAATAACACTCAGCCTGACACACTGCTCAGTTATTTACATTCCCTTCTGGTGACATCATGGGGCGGGCCTGAGTGGATCCCAAGAGGCTGCCCAGCAGCAAACTCACCAAATAAGGTTTGAGGCTCCACCAAAAAAAAAAAAAAAAAAAAATGGGGCCTGGCTGGTCTAGAGGCGGGGCCAGAGGCTGCCCTCCAAGGCCCAGACAGGCAGGACATCAGCTGCTCCCTGGAAGGGAGAACCTCAGCATCTCCCCACAAGGGCTAAACACCAGCCTGAGCAGGACAGTAAACCCCAAGGCCTCCAAGAACACACACCGCTGGGTCTTGTGCTCTCAGGAGGCCTGTGCCAGGCTCTGTGTCTGGCACTGGACTTTCTCCCCACAACACACACAGGTACCTCAGAGAAAAAGTTAAGAGCAGGGCTACCTGGCTCCAGCGCTCCAACTCCTTCCACCACCCAATGACACTGACTCCTTCCTTTGTGGGACATCAAAGAGGGCTGCTCACCTGCCCAGCTCCTCGCCCATCTCATAGTGGTCCTCCACGTCTTCCTGTCGGAACGACGACATGGCGGCTGGTCTGCCTTCCAGTCGCTTCTGCTCCAGTTGAAAGCACTGAGGCCCAGGGACAGGGCCTCGGGAGTCCCCTGGGACCCTGGAGGAGACAGGCAAAGAGGGAAAGCAGGGGATGAGGTGGCAGTCCTCCCTCCCTGGTGAACGGACCCCCGCTGGCTCGCATCAGTCCACCCTCAGGTCCAAGCCCCTGGGGGTGCCGCGCTTAGTGGCTGGGTCTTCCCAGCGGCCCCTCATGTAACCCCTGCACGAGGCGCGGGGACGGGCCGCACTGGGCTTGCTCAAGCCCCGACGGATGCCGCTCTGCGCCCCGTCAGCCAGGCGACGCCCGGGCCCTTCCCCGCCAGGCCGACCCGCGGCCCAGCTCCGGCCCCTCCCGTGCCTCGGCAGGTCTCCCACGCCCGCTAACAGCAGCCCACCCGGCCCCGCGGGCGCCAGACGACGGCTCCGAGCTCCTGCGGGGCCTGTGGCCGCCCGCCGGCCTCCACCGCCCGCCGGCCTCCTCCGCCGTCTCGCCCACCCTCCACAGGGGCCAAGGAGGCCGCGGCGACTCCCTCCTCGACCCGCCCGCGACCCCCACGGCTCCTGCTCCAGCAGCCCAAGGCCGCCACGCCCCTCAAGGCCCAGCCGGCCCGGGGGTCCCCCGGAGTCTCCCGGCTTCGCCCCCTCCCCGCGGCCTCCAGGGACCCCGGAGCGCCGCCCCGGCTCCCCCAGCCCTCCGGCCAGCAGTATCCGCACCCTCGGCGGCCGCGAGTCCAGGGCCAGCCCCGCCGCCGCGCTAGCCTCAGCCGCGGACCTCTGTCCCAGCCCCGCCACCTCGGACGCCGCGTCGCGCCTGCGCGACGTCACCAGGTCCTCAAGTACCCGCCCGGAGGCGGACCTACCTCCCATAGGTCAGCGAGCCCGCCGCTCAAGCCGCACCTCGACGCCCCGCCCCCGCCTTCTCCCCGGGCGCCACACCTGGATACGGCCTCCCGGTTGGCTGACTGACTCACCATTCCTAATCTGATTGGCTGGAGTAGACCGCTAACTTCCGGCTCCTGGGTCGCCCCTCCCGCCTCTACTCTAAGCTGATATGAGGCTGCAAGACGGCGAAGTCCCGCCTCCTGCGGTTCCGGAGCACCAAAGGCAGGATCAACTGGGAGCCAGGCGCAGTAATTCACACCTGTAAACCTGTCTACTCCCAGGCTAAGGCAGATTCTAAACCAGAGACCAGTGTCAGTAACTCAGAGGTGTAAACTCAAGAGGTAGGGCGCCCCTGCCGGTTCACTCCCAGTACGGGATGGGGGCCGGTAGAATCCTCTGGACGGCTGCACTTCGCAGTTCCTGGGGTGGACAGCGGGGTAGTCAGCCTTTTCTTAGTTGTAAATGGACAGAATGGCCTTATTTTTAGCTCGAACCCAGGGCCCCACGCATGCTAGGCAAGTGCTCTGCCACTGAGATACAGCCCCAGCCCCAAATGTTGACATTTTAAATACTTAAGTTAAATGCAAACAAGGGACTGTCAAGTGTTGCCATTGACAGGATCCAATTTAATGTGACCAAATGACAACCTTGCGGAGACAAATAATTACCCCCACTATATAAATGAAAAATCGGCACCTAGTGTTTATCCTACCAAGGTCAGGCAGATTCCCCCCTCCATAGGTCTGAAACCAAAGCCAATGACAAACCAGCCCAGGTGTCAAGACCCAGTCTTTTGACAACCCCAAGCTCATCTGCTCTCCAACCCCTTTTGCATTACTTTTTAATATTTTCTAGTTATAGGTGGACACAATCTTTTTATTTTTATGTGGTGCCGAGGATCAAACCCAGTGCTCAAAACATGCCACATGAGCACTCTACCTGAGCCACAACTCCAGTGCCACTTTCACCTTACTTCTGGCCTCAACTTATTCCTATCCCCCAGAAAGTACAAATTCTACTTTCTGGCCCAAGATGGCCTCCTGCACTAATCCCGAGGCCCACTTGAGCTCACAGCCTTAGTGGCACCTTCTCCCAGAAGCCATCCGCATTGCACCCTTGGGACTTAACCATCAGTACAGCAGATGCGGAGCCAGGGCTGCCACTGTGGACAGATGCAGGAAGTTCTTACCACTGCACAAGTTGCACCAGACAGCTCTGTAGGAGCCCAAGCAGGTACCTAAGGTACTGGAACCAACCAACCCTACCCTTCTCCTGTGCAGATGCCCCAGGAAGGATGCAGAGCCAAGTCACAGGGATGGCACACTTCACCACCATTATCAAATTTATTATTCCAATGGTACTAATACAGCTGAAGGTGCTCATGGTGACACGGCACAGGACTTCCTGCCTTCTAGGAATTATCTACCCACCGTTCCTTCCCCCTTTCTGAGGGAAATCCACTTCGGGCCATATACCCAAATAAACTTCTTAATGCATTTATTTTAAACTTTTGGACATCCGAATTCAGTTTCCCTCTGATGATCTGAAATAAAAGCATTGGGTGTCCCACCCTACCTCCCCACCCCACCAGCCAAGTAGTCCCTTCAGAAAGGGCATTTCCCCTGCCTCTGGACTCCTGAAATAAATAGAGAGAAACGGCATCAAGTGTTATTGTTGAGCGATGGCACGGAGTGGGCCCCCGTAACCCCTCAGGCAGGGCATCACTGTGTGGGGACAGTCTCAAGGTGTCATTTGAGAATGCGAGGACATGTTGCTGTGGTCAAACTGGGTGTGGGTGTTGTGCCAAGTCCCACCAGGGGTGGCAAACCACTGTTGGAAAGAGCCGCCTACAATTTGTCCAGGAAGTTGTCCAGGGCCGGGATGCCCTCCTTCAGGCCTTTGCGCTTGCGGGTCTCCGCCACCACTTGGCTGGGACGGCTGGTGTTGTCAAAGGGGTCTCCAGGCAGGATCTGCCAGTGGTCGAACACGCACTGGGGGAAGGCCTGACCACCTGTGTTGGACCTCAGGTCAGCAGTGAAGCCTGTGGGGAGAGGGACGGAGAGAGCTCAAGAGGCAGCAGGTACCTTGCATGTACTAGGCCCTGGGTTCTATCCCTAGCACCACAGCAGGGAGACACTGGGAACCCAGGCTCTCCCTAGGGTGATGACCACCTGGGACTATAGAGAAGTCGAGAATCCTGGGCAAGGCAGATACTAAGCCCCGCACATAATGAAAATGATTCAAAGGCCACTAGTATATAGAAGGGACAGTCTTCCTGGGTGCAGAGAACCAGCCTGAGCCACAGGCAAGATCCTACTGACCTACGTGCCACAGCCTTACTGCCCTCATCAAACAAACTCCCTACTAGTGACTGGGGGCCACACAGGGTGCAGGCAGACCACCTACTTGCAGAAAGCAGATCAAAAAAGCTCCCACCGCCCCTCCCCACACTCACACGGAAAGCCAGGCTTTCATCTGCCTAGATAGGCCCGAGGGGCACTTACCGAAGGATTCGTTGACGGGCAGGTAGGCCTTGACAACGAACATGGGGGTACCAGCCACCTGGGATTCCTCAAAGACATGACCCCGCTTCCTGTTCAGGACACCGTAGATGCCACCAACCACCTGCTCTGGACACTGCCAGGAAAAGACAAGCATTTAACTCTGTGGGGCAGGAAGACAGCAGGAGGCCAGTGCAGGCCAGTGCGCTCACCTGGATCTCCACAAGGTAGATGGGCTCCATGAGGCGGGGCTGGGCAGTCAGCACACTGGCATAGAGGCAGCGGCGGGCGGTGGGGATAATCTGGCCGCCCCCACGATGGATGGCATCTGCATGCAGTGTCACATCGTGCACATCAAAGCGCACGCCCCGCATGTTCTCCTCACACAGTGCACCCTGGGGAATGGGGAAGGAGGCCTCAGAGACCAGGCACACACCAGCTCCTAGCAGGTGCATACCCCTCACCCACACAGCTGCAGGCCCTGCCTGTGCTGACCTAGCATGCAAAGGTCCCCTTCACCCCCAAGATCGGCATCCCAGAGATCCCCAGCCCAACTCCAGACCCAGGAGACACAGGAGACCCCTCCCAGGCCATCTGGATCCAGCTCACCTCTTTGGTGGCCCACTGGAAGCCAGCCACCACACTGTCCTTGATCTCATTGAGGTACTGCACACCCTTGGTGATGTCCGTGAGGATGTTGGGGCCAGTCCCGTCAGGCCCAAAGCACCAGATCTTGCGGGCCTCAGCCACGTCCCACTCATACTTCTCAGCCAGGTAGCGGGCTCGCTGCTTGAGCTCCTGGCGGGCTGACACCTCACCCTTGTCGATGTCCTCGGCCAGACCATCAGGGAAAGGCCGCGCCTTCATGTACAGCCGATTGTGCTTGTTGGGGGACTTGGAGAGGCAGAGCACGTTTGACTCCTCGCTGACTGTCTCCCGGTATGAAACCACTGGATCAGATTTCTGCAAGAAGAGTCTGGAAGTCGAACTGCTGCCTGGAGGTGGCCTTCCAGGGAGAGGTATCCCTAACAGCTCTTCCCTGGGAGGCTGAGGGAGCCAGCAACAGGCAAGCAGAGCAAACTGCCCTTGCTCAAGACAGCCAAGGAAGAAAGGCGCAGAGGCCTAAGGAGCCCAACCATAAACAGCAGAAAACAAGCAGAGCCATCGCGGCTACACAGTTCCAGTGCAGAGCGAGTGCTCAGCACCAAGGGCAGAGGCCTGGTGTGGCAGAAGCCTGCTCCACAGGCTGCCCCTGCCCCACAGCACAGGGGGACACGGGCGGCCTTAGCTCACCTTGATGGGTATGCAGGCGTGGTCCTCCTCCAGGTCCTTAAGGCAGATCTCCAAGTGCAGCTCCCCGGCCCCCGCAATGATGTGCTCCCCAGATTCCTCGATGATGCACTGTGGGAAGCACAGGGTCAACCCCCACTGACCACCACCCATGGGCGAGCAAGACCACCGAGGCCGTGAGCAGTTGCCAGATGGAGGCAACAGCCTGCAAAATTGAAGAACCTCTCTCTGCGGCTATGAGACCTTTTTGGCAAGCTAGAAGGCAGCCGTCTGGTAGAGTCACCTCAACAACTCCAACCAGGAAGACATGGGGTGGCGTCAGTCTCTCCTTTTGCGAAGTCACCCACAACCCCTACCCTAGTGGGGGTACCTGCTCCCAGGTGACTGGAAAGGGACTTTGCCCACCTGGACCATGGGGTCAGACTTGGCCAGCCGCTTCAGCCCCTCCACCAGCTTGGGCAAGTCAGCTGGGTTCTTGGCCTCAACAGCCACCCTCACGACAGGACTGACGCTGAACTTCATCACGCGCATGTTGTGGGCGTGCTCAAAAGTGGTGATGGTGCCAGTCTTCACCAGGAACTGGTCCACACCCACCAGACCCACGATGTTCCCGCAAGGCACGTCCTCGATGGGCTCCACATAGCGGCCCATCATCAGGATTGTTCTGGGGAGAAGCAGAAAATGTCAGGCGCAGCCACCAGATCTGGTTCTGCCAGATCCCAGTCCTCTCCAGAGTGTAAGGCTCTCCTGCCTGGGCCTCAAGCCCTGGCTGCATTTCCTACATAACTTGAAGGAATCACCAGCAATTCCAAATCCCCTGTGGGTGCCACACATGCCACATCGAATGTGAACACAGGGAAGCAAGAACAAAGGCACTGAGAATATTGGCCAGGCCTTCGCACAGGACAGGCCTAAGCAGATGACGGAAATGAGGTTTGGTTGTCTCTCCCCTCTCAGTTGCTGGTAGGGCCCAGTGAGCAGTGTCAGCTACTGGTGGTGCCATCTTGGACTTCTCTACCTGCTCTCTGGGGAGGACAAAACTGGCCACCCACCTGATTCCTCAGGACATCTCGTCCTATTTCTGAGTTAGGGTTCAGGCGAACAGAGGAAGTACCTTGCTGGTGGCTTTCTGGAGACCTTGGATCCCCCTCTGTTCGTCTTTGTGGAGTCATAATGACCAAAG